GTGGTGATGGTGATGGTGATGATGGCGATGGCAGTGGTGGTGGTGGTGGTGATGGTAATGGTGGTGGTTTCAGTGGCAGTGGTGGCAGTGGCAGTGGCAGTGGCGGTGGTGGTGGTGGTGGTAATGGTGGTGGTTTCAGTGGCAGTGGTGGCAGTGGCAGTGATGGTGGCGGTGGTGATGGTGGCGGTGGTGGTGGTACTGGCATTAAGTCCCTTCAAGTTCTCAGTGGCCTCATGCTCAGCAGAATGAAACAAGGCCCATTCTCGTAGCCCAGTACTCACTGTGTCAGTCCATCTCATTAAACATCTTCCACATTTTTACCATCCTTCTCCTTTACCATGGGAGCTCTAGTAGCCCAAGGGTACCAGAAGTTGCCCTGCTATCTTCAAAACAAGTAGTTCAAATTCACCAGCTGTTAAACAGGAGAAAGACAGACAGTATCCTCTGATTTATAGCCTCTGAGAACTCACTTGAGGCTTAGCTATGAATCATTCAAACTCAATGGCAACAAACAACAACTACTGTGCCAAGCACAGTGTCCTTCTCCAGGGACCATTCTTCCTGAGAACATGGCCAAAGTCTTGCACCACCATGAGATGTGAGAGGAGCATTCTGACTCTACTTCTTCCAAGATTGAGTTGCTCATTCTTCTGGCAGCCATGATATATATTCCATTTTCTTTGCCAACAGTGTAACTCAAAGGCATCATTTTTTCTTTGGTCTTCCTTGTTGTCTAGCTTTTGCATGCATGTGAGGTGACTGAAAATACCACAGCCTTTATTGTACTTGGTGTGCGCCATCCTCAAGCTCAGCCCTCAATCCTGGAGGGTTTCTCAATATGAGGAGTGATGCTGGGAATATTTTGTGCAGAGACCACATACTGTAGAAGTGAAATTGGATATTGAATAGACCATCTGATACCTGCTACTCTGTGGCTGAATATACTGCTATAGAAAGTCCAGAAACACATGCCTTGCATGTTCCCAGCTTGTGCGTGGAGCTTGACCAAGAAAGGGAAGGGAAAGGCAAAGTAACATGGGGAAAACAATGAGAAAAACAAAACAAAACCTTTTAAAGTGACATCTAAGGTGCAGCCAAGGTGCTCCATAGAGAGAAGGGTGAAGAAATTCTATTTTCATATTTTTGGCATGTGCTTAGGAGAGACCAAATCCTTGGTGAAGGACATCATGCTTGAAAAGATGGGGAGGGTCAGCAAAAGGGAGGAAGACCCTCAACGAGACAGCTTGACCCAGGGGCTGGAGCAATGGGCTTGAGTGTTGCAGGGATGCTCAGGCTGGTGTAGGTTAGGGCAGGGCTCACATCTGTTGTTATAAGGTCAAGAGCAGCAACAAGAAAAGCAAAGTCTACATAATGAGGAGGACAGCAATTACCAAGTGCCCAGAGAAAATGATGTAATAAAACTGAAAGAAAAAGAGAAGAGAAAAATGATCCCCTTTGTGGCAGCCGCATGCAGAGGTCAGAAGAAGAGACGCTCAGAACAAGTGCACTGGGGCGGGGTCACTCTGGGCACATCCGGGTGTGGTCAAGCTGAACCCCACCAGGGGCCCTGGAGATGATTCTGAGTCCCCGTCAGCCCATGTGCTCAGGCAGCATCTGCGCCACAGCAATGTGAAGGCTGTGACCTTTCAGAACGGGTCACCAGGATGTTCCTCCAAAGCACTTCTGAGTAGGTTTTAACTACCAACCCTTTGGCTGCCAGGGAGCTCTGGTGACCTTGTTATAAGGGGTTGCATTACCAATCAAAAGGCAGACAGTGTGCGTTCACCAGCTGTGCGACTAGAGAAGGGTGATGGGTCTCCTGGGTGAATTATTGCCATGGGAAACCTGCTGGAGGGTGAGCTAGGAGTTACTTCTGACGCAACACCAGTGTTGTTGTTGTTGTTGATTGCCGTCAAGTGGAGTATGACTCACAGCAACCCTATGAGCAAAAGACCTGAACCCTGTTCTATAAGTATCATTGTTTCTCTATGTTCATAGTTTCCAGAAGCATGTGGTTTAGGAAGTGGATGCCACTCCTGCTTCCAAACCTGAATCAACCTGGGAACTCAACCAAACACTGTCCATGATGGGTAACCATTATGACATTTGACACACCCATGGCACAGTATTTAGCATCACAGCAACTCCAGGGTACTTTAGTACAGCAAAGAGACGGATCCCTGCTATACCACTTAAAAGAATGTTCACCCCCAAATCAATTAACGCTAGGCACAAGGGCCGCAGGCTGGAAGGACCTACCACTTTTTAAAATACAGACACATCCACCAAGTGCTGGTTGATTATAAACCAAGAGGCTTACAGCTCATTGTTAGCTAAATATGGCAAGTCCAATCAGCTGACACTTACCTGTGGACCAAAAAAAAACCCCCACCAAATATTCCATATGTGACCCTCATCAAGATGAAAGAAACCACCTTCCAGAATCCAGCCACTTCACAGATGCCTCCAAGCAGTAGACTTGGTCCCCAGTGCTACCACTTTGTTGTTGTTGGTTTTGGTTTTTCAGTTTTATTACTAATTGAATAATGAACCATTTGTCCTATCAGGTGCAGGAGCAATCTTCTTTTCTTATTCTGGTTTATCCCAAATCCATTTTGCAGGTTGACTCATGAGGGCATCTTTGTGGCAACCTCTGTTTTTCTCATGAGCTAGGCTAACACTGTTCAAAGGTGATAAATCTGATGCCCCTGTGAATCTTGTAAAGAATGTTGTATGAATGAACGTAGCCTGTGGGTAAGGAGAAACCAGGGGATCCCTCCAATGTGACATCACATCATCTGTCCAAAGTCAAGCAGGAGATGAGCAAAGTGAACACCATCACCTCTGCTGTTCCTCTTCTTTAAATTACCACAATTCCACTGTCTTTCTGATTCTGAAAGTTTTGCATTTTCCTAGATTACTTTAAGTCAAAGACCCTCTTGGAATTAGGAACCAGCTTTTCCATTAGTTAATGTGGTTCTTAAGTGATTTGCTTTGTGAAAATTCCATTTGGATCCACTGGGT